ATATCTGGACTCTCTTTAAAGTAGAAAAGCAAAAAAAATCTTCCCAAAAGAAAAACATATGCTCGATTAAGTAAGGATTTCAATTGGCTACAATGGAAATCTAATTACTATTGTTTTTGTTGCCGATGAAGTTGTGGTATACTTGTAGTACTTGTAGTACTTGTAGTACTTGTAGTACTTGTAGTACTTGTAGTACTTGTAGTACTTGTAGTACTTGTAGTACTTGTAGTACTTGTAGTACTTGTAGTACTTGTAGTACATGTAGTACTTGTAGTACTTGTAGTACTTGTAGTACTTGTACTTGTAGTACTTGTAGTACTTGTAGTACTTGTAGTACTTGTAGTACTTGTAGTACATGTAGTACTTGTAGTACTTGTAGTACTTGTAGTACTTGTAGTACTTGTAGTACTTGTAGTACTTGTAGTACTTGTAGTACTTGTAGTACTTGTAGTACTTGTAGTACTTGTAGTACTTGTAGTACTTGTAGTACTTGTAGTACTTGTAGTACTTGTAGTACTTGTAGTACTTGTAGTACTTGTAGTACTTGTAGTACTTGTAGTACTTGTAGTACTTGTAGTACTTGTAGTACTTGTAGTACATGTAGTACTTGTAGTACTTGTAGTACATGTAGTACTTGTAGTACATGTAGTACTTGTAGTACTTGTAGTACATGTAGTACTTGTAGTACTTGTAGTACTTGTAGTACTTGTAGTACTTGTAGTACTTGTAGTACTTGTAGTACTTGTAGTACTTGTAGTACTTGTAGTACTTGTAGTACTTGTAGTACTTGTGGTACTTGTGGTACTTGTAGTACTTGTAGTACATGTAGTACTTGTAGTACTTGTAGTACTTGTAGTACTTGTAGTACTTGTAGTACTTGTAGTACTTGCAGTACTTGTAGTACTTGTAGTACTTGTAGTACTTGTGGAAAAGCTGTTCTTTAATAAGGGTTTAATATCCTTTGGGAAAGGCTTGGAGTTTGAATTTGGCAATTTTGGAACAGGCTTGCTTCCCTTCTGGGCTTCCAAGGGCTGCTCTGGCACAGCTTGCTGCAATAGTGAACCCAGCAAACAAACCTACTAAAGTGAAATGGAGCCTCTCCTGGTCCAGGGCCTTGGAAAATTGTGGAAAAGCTGTTCTTTAATAAGGGTTTAATAAGGGATTGGTTCTTTTGGGAAAGGCTTGGGGTTTGAATTTGGCAATTTTGGCAAAGGCTTGCTTCCCTTCTGGGCTTCCAGGGGCTGCTCTGGCACAGCTTGCTGCAATAGTGAACCCAGCAAACAAACCTACTAAAGTGAAATGGAGCCTCTCCTGGTCCAGGGCCTTGGGAAATTGCGGAAAAGCTGTTCTTTAATAATGGTTTAATAAGGGATTGGCTCCTTTGGGAAAGGCTTGGAGTTTGAATTTGGCAATTGCCTTTGGAAAAGGCGTGCTTCTCTTCTGGGCTTCCAGGGGCTGCTCTGGCACAGCTTGCTGCAATAGTGAACCCAGCAAACAAACCTACTAAAGTGAAATGGAGCCTCTCCTGTTCCAGGGCCTTGGAAAATTGTGGAAAAGCTGTTCTTTAATAAGGGTTTAATAAGGGATTGGTTCTTTTGGGAAAGGCTTGGAGTTTGAATTTGGCAATTTTGGAAGAGGCTTGCTTCCCTTCTGGGCTTCCAGGGGCTGCTCTGGCACAGCTTGCTGCAATAGTGAACCCAGCAAACAAACCTACTAAAGTGAAATGGAGCCTCTCCTGGTCCAGGGCCTTGGAAAATTGTGGAAAAGCTGTTCTTTAATAAGGGTTTAATAAGGGATTGGTTCTTTTGGGAAAGGCTTGGAGTTTGAATTTGGCAATTGCCTCTGGAAAAGGCTTGCTTCCCTTCTGGGCTTCCACGGGCTGCTCTGGCACAGCTTGCTGCAATAGTGAACCCAGCAAACAAACCTACTAAAGTGAAATGGAGCCTCTCCTGGTCCAGGGCCTTGGAAAATTGTGGAAAAGCTGTTCTTTAATAAGGGTTTAATAAGGGATTGGTTCTTTTGGGAAAGGCTTGGAGTTTGAATTTGGCAATTGCCTTTGGAAAAGGCTTGCTTCCCTTCTGGCTTCCAGGGGCTGCTCTGGCACAGCTTGCTGCAATAGTGAACCCAGCAAACAAACCTACTAAAGTGAAATGGAGCCTCTCCTGGTCCAGGGCCTTGGGAAATTGTGGAAAAGCTGTTCTTTAATAAGGGTTTAATAAGGGATTGGCTCCTTTGGGAAAGGCTTGGAGTTTGAATTTGGCAATTGCCTTTGGAAAAGGCTTGCTTCTCTTCTGGGCTTCCAGGAGCTGCTCTGGCACAGCTTGCTGCTGGTCCAGGGCCTTGGAAAATTGTGGAAAAGCTGTTCTTTAATAAGGGTTTAATAAGGGATTGGCTCCTTTGGGAAAGGCTTGGGGTTTGAATTTGGCAATTGCCTTTGGAAAAGGCTTGCTTCTCTTCTGGGCTTCCAGGAGCTGCTCTGGCACAGCTTGCTGCAATAGTGAACCCACCAAACAAACCTACTAAAGTGAAATGAAGCCTCTCCTGGTCCAGGGCCTTGGAAAATTGTAGAAAAGCTGTTCTTTAATAAGGGTTTAATAAGGGATTGGTTCTTTTGGGAAAGGCTTGCAGTTTGAATTTGGCAATTTTGGAAAAGGCTTGCTTCTCTTCTGGGCTTCCAGGGGCTGCTCTGGCACAGCTTGCTGCAATAGTGAACCCAGCAAACAAACCTACTAAAGTGAAATGAAGCCTCTCCTGGTCCATGGCCTTGGAAAATTGTGGAAAAACTGTTCTTTAATAAGCGTTTAATAAGGGATTGGCTTCTTTGGGAAAGGCTTGGGGTTGGAATTTGGATATTGCCTTTGGAAAAGGCTTGCTTCCTTTCTGGGCTTCCAGGAGCTGCTCTGGCACAGCTTGCTGCAATAGTGAACCCAGCAAACAAACCTACTAAAGTGAAATGAAGCCTCTCCTGGTCCAGGGCCTTGGAAAATTGTGGAAAAGCTGTTCTTTAATAAGGGTTTAATAAGGGATTGGTTCTTTTGGGAAAGGCTTGGGGTTTGAATTTGGCAATTTTGGAAAAGGCTTGCTTCCCTTCTGGCTTCCAGGGGCTGCTCTGGCACAGCTTGCTGCAATAGTGAACCCAGCAAACAAACCTACTAAAGTGAAATGGAGCCTCTCCTGGTCCAGGGCCTTGGAAAATTGTGGAAAAGCTGTTCTTTAATAAGGGTTTAATAAGGGATTGGTTCTTTTGGGAAAGGCTTGGTGTTTGAATTTGGCAATTTTGGCAAAGGCTTGCTTCCCTTCTGGGCTTCCAGGAGCTGCTCTGGCACAGCTTGCTGCAATAGTGAACCCACCAAACAAACCTACCTTGACTGAGCTACAGCGTTTTTGAGAAAAGAATGCCTCTCAGCAATTACATTTTTTTTGCAAAAAAAAGGGCTCTCCCAATTTTGTTTTGCCACAAAAGCGAACCCTCCAAACAATACATGAGTTTCACAATAATTTGGAAAAATTGCCACAATAGCGACCCTAGGTACTAATCAGGACCCAACATTACTATGGTCAATGGTGGTTTTTCATGATGATTCATGTTGGTTTTTCATGGTGATTCATGGTGGTTAATGGTTGGTTAATGGTGATGAATAGGGAGTAATATGGATTAACCCAACCATAAATCTGGATGAATTTGATCATGACCTCACGTCGGAAAAAACCCGTGGAATGATGGGACCTGGGACCTGGATTCGGGGAATCATCCGCAGCTGACCACAGCTATTTCCATTGGCGAATTATGCTCAGCTGTCAATATCAGCGAGATCGGTGCTAGGGATTCCAGCCAGCAAGGCACGACGAAATTAGCTGCGGGTAACCGTCGGTAACCTTGCTGCTCATCTGACCAACAAAAACATAGCACTGGCAGTTATGAGGGGGAATACTTTACTGTACGGCTTGAACATTTCTGTAGATGCTTCCATTAATGGGAATTTCTCAAAGAACGCAGTGTTACCAGCCAAATTCTTCAGTTTGCTTCAAAGACCTGAAAAGTGACCAGTTTTTTTCAGGTTCTGGGGCCAGGCCAGCCATCTCGCTTGTTGAAGGCGTTTTTTTTTCATCAAAAGAAAAAGGTCAGTTTGGGCCTCTACTCGTTCTACCTGGATCCTGTGGGTCATAACTGCCATAAGTTGTGTCGTTGCGATAGTTCCGAAATAATTTGGAGGTTCGAGGAACCACTGAGTTTATATGGCAGCTTACTGGGGTTTAATTTTGTGGTTCCCCATGGGATCCATGATGATCCATGGGGCAGGCATATGGATCCCATCTATGGCCTGTTAGTGGCCACCCATGTGCTGAGCAGCATCTTCGCATCCCTTCATCTTCCCACGATGCTGCGCAGCCTGATGTTTCTTCCAAGCGAGTGGGCACCAGAGCCCCTCCTGTCCGAATTGCACACGAACCAATGGTCGAAGCTGGGGGCCATTGTGATCTTCATCGCTTCAGGAGATTTACTGTGGCTGGCCATCTATGGAATCTCGACAATTCGCTGGGATTTTGGGACGTGAATTTCGCTGGTTCAGTTTCTGGAACATGTCAACAACATTTGAGTTTGACCTGGAGCCACAGGTGGTATATGATGCTATTACGTAGCATGATTTACGATCACTACTTGTTGTTCTCGTGATAATTTATACTCATAAATTCTGAAACATGTACACGCACACACACACACGCATCGCAATGAAATTTGCATTTATCATTTATATAGATGGGTTTGTCTGAAACTAGGGTAACCTCACCCCCTTGCTTAGTCATGCGTAACCATGTCCCAATCAGAATGGCAGTTCTGCGGCTCGTACCTCGCTTGTGGCGGTGAGATGCGCCGATCGCTTGTGGCAGTGAGATTGTTCATTTTTGGTTTATTTTTTGACTGCCGCAAGTGATCCTTTTTTACTGCCGTGAGTGAGTGATGTTTTTGCGTGGCAGGTGCAGCATTTCAAGGCCTGATCGCTTGTGGCGGTAAGACTGCGATGACCATTTTTGGATCGCTTGTGGCGGTAAAAATCTGTCGCTTGTGGCGGTAAGTGGGTGTCCTTGATGCCAGGGTATATAAAACCAATCGCTTGTGGCAGTAAGATGCTTTACAGCATTTACGCACATACTTGTCTTCTATCCCTGTGATTTCTAGACATTGACTGGAACCATTGCAACGCCGAATTACAGGAGGTTTATGTTATCCAGGTGGAATTTCAGCTTTGCTGTGTTTTTCATGTCTTTTCGTTTTGCATTTGGGTATATATAATGCGACGGTTGCTATAGTGGTAATAGATATTGTTGCGATCCGGTCATGTGAAGATATACATATAACGGCGCGACCGCGACTAGATGTGATGCTGTTAAGCGAACGTGTATTTCCATGGACGGATTTAGGGCTTCGGGTGGAAAACTTTACTTACATACCTAGCACATCATTATTAACTTTCTCCTCCTCCTCCTCCTCCTCCTCCTGCTCATCATCATCAGCATCATCATCGTCATCATCGTCATCATCGTCATCATCATCATCATCATCATCATCATCACCATCACCATCACCAGCACCATCATCATCATCATCATCTCCATCATCATCATCATCACCATCATCATCATCATCATCATCTTCCTTCTCAACATCATCATCATCATCATCATCATCATCATCATCATCATCAACATCATCATCATCATCATCACCATCATCATCATCATCTTCTTCTTCTTCGTTACATTTTCATCTATACTCTAGTGCTTTTTGTACTTCCTCGAAAGTGTTTGGGACCTCTTGCCAATACATTGTCCTTGTTTGTTACGTGTGGAATTGCCCGTGTTGCAAGAATCTGATGAATGGATTTATGGAAGCCGTTGTGCATGATAATTTGGATTGTCAGCAATGGAGTCTCATCCATCCCTTTCTTTTTGTTAATCCTTACAACTTTCCAGCTGGGTTTCGGCCACGGTTCAGACAGCAGTTCTTTCCTTAGTGTGCCGTTTGACGGGGCTGATCGCGGCCATGGACTTTTTGATGCTGAGCTGCTACCTGGAGACTGCCAGAGCAATTTCTTGAAATGGATCGGATGATGAGAGACCACTGCCTGTTGCCGTGCCTGTTACAGGAACATGAACGTTATTACCCCACCCCACCCCACCCCACCCCACCCACCCCCACCCCAGCAGTAACTGATGATGAAAGACCACTGCCTGTTGCCGTGCCTGTGTGTGTACTGGAACATGAACGTTATTATCCCACCCCACCCCACCCCACCCCAGCAGCATGATAACTGATGATGAAAGAGCAGTGCCTGTTGCCGTGCCTGTGTGTGTACTGGAACATGAACGTTATTATCCACCCCACCCCACCCCACCCCAGCAGAAACTGATGATGAAAGACCACTGCCTGTTCCCGTGCCTGTGTGTGTACTGGAACATGAACGTTATTATCCCACCCCACCCCACCCCACCCCACCCACCCACCCCACCCACCCAACCCCACCCCACCCCAGCAGTAATACGAATGTTCGGAAATCTCACTGCCGCAAGTGATCGGTTTATAAGGTCTGATAAGAGTTTCACTGCCGCAAGTGGTGCAGTCTTACTGCCGCAAGTGACTGGAAAATCTCACTGCCGCAAGTGATCCAAACTCACTGTCGCAAGTGAGGGTTGAGCCAGTTTTGCGGTATCTTGGTTGTACCCCCCACTATATCCTAATACCTAATACCCCCATATTTTATGTGTGTGTCTGGAAATGGGAGGTATTCCCACATAGTTATTTTAAGAGGGCACATGATAATCATCCAGTGGATTTGGGGCTACGCAATATTTTCAGACAAACCCATATCATATATATATATATACATATATATAATTATATAATATAAACAAAACCAGGACAAAGTTTTTTGTCCTGACTAGCTGCTCCAACCCTTTCCCTTTGGACTCCTGACAGGTTGCATATGGATGACATGGCGGATCGCGGATCAGCTGGTTTGCTTTAAAAGAATTTTAGTTTATTCCGACTTGAAATACGATCCGCCACGCAGGCCACACGAAATGAGGATAATTGATCCGCGACTGAGGATGATGATATTACTAAGGTAAAAAACGGGAAAAACTTTCTTCCTTCTGATGTACACGTATATAATTGTACATATATATATATACATATATATACATATATATATATATAATATATATATCATTATATACACATAAAATATATTAAGTCCACGATAATCATTGATTACGCCCCCATTTTTGTAGGTACATATCCCTTTCAGCCACGAGGACCATCCCCTATAGTTAGCTAAGTTGGTTTATAAGTAGGTTGAGTATGGTTTACTAGGAATTGTGGTAGATATAATATGATAAAACATCATGTTACTATAGTTGATGTGTTTTCTTCACCAGCTTCTAACGGGCTTCAGAACACTTCTATTTTTGCCCATCCTTTTTTTGAGTTGTTGATGTCATATTCCAGTGAAGGGCGGGTCGAAGCCACGAGCGCTGCGAGGATCTCCTTGGTGCATCTACATCGTTGAGCTCTGGTCTCTGACCTTTCTGGAGCTTTGTCGTAGATTAGGTGCGGCTCCCTTTACCGTGGCAGCCGCGATCATTTGCTTCTTGGACGAAGAAGTGAACAGGCGACTTTAAAGCGTCAAGGACATGGTTCATGTTAGTGACAGATAATTGCGGGCAAGTCATTTTTCGTTGTTGTCATGAATGATTCTATGGTATACGATATGGTCGATGGTGATGGAATAATGCACATGATCGATTGCTCAGCACACATGATGGCAGTGGACAATGAAAATCAAAATTGAAGATCAAGATCATAACTTTGAATGTCCTGATGCTGGCTGTCGGCCCAAGGTATAGCAGTCATTCCAGATTTGGACAATCCCCATTGTTGCAACAGAGCATTTTTGCGGGTATGGATCGGTACCTGGAATCTCCTAAAGCACTCAAATCAGGTTGTTCTTCAAATCCCGAAATTGGAACATTACACCCAGTCTGGCAACATTCTTGGGATACGAACTGCGGGGTACCACAATATTCGACCGATTTAACCACCCAAAATCCAAGAAATCCAAGGCTTTCCCTTGCTGCGCTGCAAAACCGCTTGGCGCCTACAGATCTTCAGGGATTCGTTGAGGTGTGGAGAAGTGAACTTCACGAATCGCGAACCTCGCGCGCCTTTGCTGGCTGCGGGACCTTGAAGAAATATGAAAAAATCCCATTTGAAATTGACAAGAACTTGGCAAAAATTGAGTGTTTCTGGTGAACACCTGGTGAACCATGAACTTTGGTTGGAAACATCGCTTGGCCGAAGATTGGGATCCTTCAGCTAGCAGATTGTCGTGGGTCACCCCTTGAAGCCCCGAAATTCAATGGAGAGGATGGAACTTGGGGAAGCTGCATGGAAAAACTGAACCTTTGGTAGTCAACCATGGCGCGAAAAGATGATGCTATCTCTGGTGCTATTTCGGAAGATCCTGGGAATTTGAGGCTGAATCAAAACCCTACCCAGTTCACATCCCCCCAAAGTTGCCATGCTCTACATTGGGATGTGAATAAGAATCCAATATTTTGGGATGTCATATGAATACTACACTCGAGGTCTGATCCATACCCAGAACATCACCAATTTTTCCATTAACTTTTCTGTGCAAAACAGACATGTCACATCACCGGGGAAGTCTTCCTAAAGGCCATCTTATGACAGGCCAAAGCTGCCTTAGATTTCAAGCTGTGCCCCGCTTCCAGGCTTCCAAGGTGAAATTGAAAAAAGCAACGCTGCTTCCAATAGAAGCCAACCATACCAAACCCAGAATTGGTGGTGAAAGCTTCAGGAAACCAACATCTTTAGTGTAAAAACCATAGATTTCCGGTAGATGAATAATAAACCCAGTGAACCAAACGAGGTTTCGCGCTTGGTTTTTGGAAGCCCAAGGGGATTCAGCACGTTCCGATAGGCAGTGCGCAAAATTCCAGTTGACACTATGGACCTTGATTGCGGAGCTACCAACTAGTAGTTACCAGTGGAGAATCCCATTTGGAATCCTTCACCAGAGGGTGTCATGGCAACATCTTTCTGCTTTGGAATGGGTAGGATGCGCATGGATACCTGTCATGTTGTTTGGACACACCAACGACTGTTGACATTTGGTGATTTCAATGCTACACTTTTGCAGGAGATATCCCCACTTTGGTTGATCCTTTATCTCTATTGAAATGATCATTGAATCCTGTAAACATCGTCAACATCGTCACTTCAAGCCACATGATCGTTGCTTAAATCGACCATTTGCGTGATCCAATTCCAAGTTTTGTTGCTATATCCACAATAAATGATAAGGCGCCCCGAGGTTCTGGGAGACGAGGAGGTGATCATGGCCTTAGGCGAAGCCGTGCGGAGCTGACGAGTGAACGTGTCAAACATTTTCGAGCTGGGAAATGCTGGGAAATCCCGGAAGAAAATGGGCATCTATCTACCTACCTATCTAGCTATCTATCTATCTATCTATCCATCCATCCACCTATCCATAGTTGTGTATGTATCTTATAGGAAAACCATTGAACTCGTTGGCCCAGGTCTGTCAGGAGATTCCCAAGTTCATCTCGGCTAATCCTGAGAACTTCAAGGCGGGCCTATTGACAAGGTGAAGTACAGTATCTCTATCTGTGATTATCTATCCATCTACAAATTTCACGTATGTATATATATATATATACACATGTATGTGTATATATCCATATATCCATATCTATATATCCATATATCTACATATATCTATATATCTATATATGTATATATCTATAAATCTATATATCTAAATATCCATAAACCTATATATCTATATATATATATACCTATAAATCATTATTTCCATATATCCACATATCTATATATCTATAAATCTATATATCCATATATCTATATATCTATATTTCTATATATCTTTATCTACATACCTATATATTTATATATCTATAAGCCTATATATCTATATATCTATAAATCTATATATCCATATATCCGTATATCTATATATCTATGTTTCGATATATGTATATATCTATATATCTATGTATCGATATATGTATATATCTATATACCTATATATCTATGCATCGATATATGTATATACCTATATATCTATATATCTTTATATCTATATATACATATATTTATATATCTATATATCTATATACCCATATATCTATAAATCCATTTGTGTATATTATATATATGTATATCTATATAATTATATATCCATATATCTGTAGATATCTATATATCTTTATATCTATATATCTATATATCTATATATCTAAATACCTATATATACATATATTTATATATCTATATATCTATATACCCATATATCTAAAAATCCATTTATGTATATTATAGATATCTATATATATATATATATCCATATATCTGTATATATCTATATACCTATATATCTATATCTATATATCTACATATCTATATATCTACATATCTATATATCTATATACCCATATATCTATATATCCATTTATGTATATTATATATATATTTCTATATACCCATATATCTGTATATATCTATATATCTATATATCTATATATCTATACATCCATATATCTTTAAATCTATATATCTATATATCCATATATCTCTATATCTATATATCTATATATCTATATACCTTTAAATCCATATATCTATATATCGATATGTCCATATATCTATATATCTATATATCCACATATATATATATCTACATATCTGTATATCCATAAATCTATATATCTATATATCCATATATCTTTAAATCTATATATCTATATATCTATGTATCTATATATATATATATATATCTATGTATGTATATATATATATATCTATAAAATTATATACCCATATATCTGTATATCTATATATCTTTGTATCTATATATCTATATATCCATATATCTATATATCCATATATGTATGTATATATATATATCCATATATATATATATATCTATATCTATATATCTATATATGTATATATCTATATATCTATATATCTATATATCCATATATGTATGTATATATATATATCTGTATATCCATATATATATCTATATATCTATATCTCTATAGATGTTTGAATCGACAATTATTATACGGGAAAACCCTACTACAGTACTGGCTGTGACTTGGTCGTCGTCGCTTCGCCTAGGGATGGCCGGGGACGATGAAGGATTGGCATAAATTGATGATGACTTTCCAAGCCCGGGGCCCCCGGTCCAATTGGAAGTTGCTTTCAGTTTCAAGGTGGATTTGTACATAGAAATTGCCATAGAAATCCCACTTTGATTTTCAGATGGGGAAGTTTTGGTCGAATTTGTGTGGCAAAAAATGTGGCGATTTTTGGGATTGGATCCCCCAAGAAGAACCGAAGAACCGGAAGGTTAGGTCGGTTAGATAAGATGTTTAGATATGTTTAGCCGCTTAAATGACTTATGTTTTTTCTGAAAGATGATACAAATGGTGTTTGCCAAATGGTGTTTACCAGAAACTCACAGGATGCGGCCCTCCAGTTATAAGTTGGTTTATAAACCATTATAACCCCCATTAACTATAGTTATATCTACCATAAACCATAGTTAAGCCACTTACAAGGCAACTTAGCTATCTTGGGGGCCCCATCCTGCATCCGTTTGCCACACATTTTTCTTTTTCACTGTGAAATGTCATGGGGACACTGGGCCCCGAAAATCCCACTGTTTCGAACATCGGCCGCCCCTTGAGGTTGACAACAAGGAGGCCAAGTTATGGGAAAAGCCGATTTCTTGGGGTAATGGTGAAATGTGTGATTTTCCTTTGCTAGATTGGAAAATACATGAAAATACCATTTCGCAGCAACTCTACATATGAGAATGTAACCAAGTATTAAGAGGCAAAACGACAGTGCAGCAGTTTTTATTGTCCAATGTTTTTGAGACCTTGATGATCCTTTGATCACAACCACAGGTGCATGACAAGACGACATGGTTGGGCGCTCGATTTCTTCTCTTCTTGTTCGAACGACTCCATCAACGGCTTGATACTTCGAACGACAGAAGAAGTCACGGTGAAAACATGGGAAATGCCTTCAACCGGCGAGGTTGGTGAAATGGTACAATCCACATCATTCTACCATCTGGTTATTTATAGCCATGGACAATAACCATTTTTAGTAGGTAAACAAAATTTATTTCTATGGGCCATCTATACCATGGCAAACTGTGAATGTCATAACCAGATGGTACATCCATGAAAAATTGACGTAGAATTGACCTATCCCAATGGGATTCTCCGCGACCTTCGACGACTCGCGAGGCCTGCAAACTCTGTGATTCACGAAGCCATCGAAAGGCCATGCATCTGACCGGTGGTTGGGGCACACTTCTGATGCTATCACTCAGGTGAAACGTGGAAAAAAACTACAAAAAAACTACAAAAAAACTACAAAAAAACTCCTTTGGGCTTATCATTGCAAGTGGATGGGTGGTTGATACTCTGATCTTTTGCCATTTTGGTGGGGATACATTGGCCAAGCTAGCCAAAATCAAGAAATTTTTGTGCAGAGTGTCTAAGGGTGGAAGGTTTTTTCTATTTGTGATGGGAAGTACTATCTTATTATATCCAGTAAAATTAGATACGCACCCCCCTAGATTTGGATGGGAAAATTACAGGACCGCAAAGAAAGATCAGGGTTAGAAACCAGGCATTCTCCTCAAAGCAACCGATTGAACCACCATTTCAGATGTCACCATGCAAAATCAGCCACTGGCCGTTATTATGATCCGTAGATCAAAATCGGCTAGGTGGATAGGTGGATAATATCCAACATGATCCAACAACAGCGGATCTTATTTTTGTGGATTATCCACAATTACTATCACATATTATTCTTTCATCTATGAATAAATGTAAATATATGTAACCCTGTTTCTATATAGTTTAATATAGTTTAGTATAGTTTAATATAGTTTAATATAGTTTAGTATAGTTTAATATAGTTTAATATAGTTTAGTATAGTTTAATATAGTTTATAATCACTATCTTCCCTATCTTACCTGCATTACCTATATATCACCGCCATGACATTCCCTTGGCTCAAGCACCGTGAGGTATTTCAAGCCCGAGGCGCCACCCAAGTTCTGGCACCGTGACGAGGTGCGCTGATGAATTGTTGGCCTGTTGGCCCTGCACTTATACATCTAGATACACATACATATATATATATAAACATTATATATATACATATGTATATACAAATATATACATATACATATAATTACATACATATATATATATATAGATAGATAAATATAATACAGTATACGACATTAACTTTCTCGTTGAGTGGGGTCATCCCAAACAGGCATGTGGATTTAACCAACGAACATGGTGATTTTTCACGGGGATATACTGGGTGGGATATAACTGGCTGTGGATATAGTGGCAAAAAACTGGATAACACTGGATGTCATCCTCTCTTTTTTTAGCATAGCTATGGAACATGGATGAACATGGTCCATTTAGTCTGATGATTTGCCGTTTTTAAATGTGGTGATTCTACTAGCAATGCTAAATTAGCGGAAGGTTACTCTCCAATAGCAGTACCTAGAATTGAGTTCTCGCCCGTTAAATGCTGCATATCAAAGCTGTTGGCCAGAAGGGAGATGTCTCCATGGATGCTGTTGGAGATCCAATTTTTCACAAATTCTAACTTCTTTTCTCCTGATTTAAACGTGATTTGCAGCATGGCACTGGCTTTGGGGCCTTCAACATTTTTTCCACATCGACATCATTCTCCCAAATGTCTTGTCCATTGAGCTACTATCTTGGCTGACTTGGGTATGGGTCAACATCATTGCACTCAAAATTCGGATGGCTTAGACATTAGATTTACAACGATTTACAACGACCATGGGTCCATCTTTAATATGTTGCGGCTGTCTATTGACTCTCGGTAACCCAAAAACACTTGGGTGTATCAGATATCCCATACAAATATTGATTAATCACCAAGAAATCCATCAGATATCCCATTTATATAGTGATAACCTCTCCATAATCAAGCCATAAAATGGCTTGCTGCGGCTTTGCCCCGAAATCCAATGATCTCCTGGCACAAGGAGTGGCTCTCGCGTTGTGAAGGTAGGGAAGCTGTTGCGAGGGGCTGGGGCAGCATTTTTTCATCGTTATCTGCTATAGCTACTGTGGATGGTTGCGAAATCCTGCAGTTGATAGATGGTTTTTATATCCCATCTGTAGGGTTTCAACCACCAGGATTTCGCAACAATCCGCAGTATCACCATTTTTAGTAAACTGGTGGTTACAACCTTGGTGATATGGCCATGGGCCACCTGCACCTCCAAGTGCTGATATGGCCATGGGCCCCATGGGCCATGGGCCCTACATGGGTAAGGTTTGGGTTTATGCGGGATGTAACGATAGTCAATGGGTTTTTGAATTCGCTCAAAACGGGGGGGGCCCACCTTGTAAATTGTTTATAACTGTGAATATTCCATTTATAGCTGGGGTATACTGGCTTATAAACCCCGTCAACTATAGAGATTATCATAAACTAATCACTATGGTTTATTATATCATAAATAGGGATACCACTATAATCAACTATAGAGATATAATATCACTATTAGTTTATAACTATAGAGATTATCATAAACCATAATATCCCCACATACCACTAATCCTCCACTTCCTCCAGGCCGCGGCACTCGCAAGTGCGCTGCGGCACATGCTGTGCTGGTGCGTGGCACGGGGCTCTTCCGAGTCAACGGACAGCAGGAGCGAAAAGCGAAAAGCCGTTGAGTCGTGAGAAATACCTGGGTTGTTGGGTATTTGACAGGGATTCATAGTCACTACCCTCTGGTAATTTAACATAACTATGGAAAATCACCATTTAGAGTGATTTTTCCCATGAAAAATGGTGATTTTCCATAGTTTTCGGTTCGAACTACTGAACGTGGGAGCTATAGGGTAATTATTTAGTTGGGATTTAAGCACCAAACATGTGTGCTAACTAGTGAAACTGATGATGTCATTGATAAATGGTGCTTCGTTGGGTATGAAGTGTGCAGTATACGACCTAGTTTCATAATGTTTCATAGCGCACACTGTATAAACCATAGTTTTACCATAGTGGGAATAGCCAGTGGCCCAGTAACCAACTGCTACGAGGAGACAGGGGGAATAGCCCAGGGCCCAATCCCTGCGCTATGGGGTCCCATTATGGGATAGAATCGGGGGATGGCCAGGACATGTACCATCGATGGCCTCAGATCTACCATCGTTGGACTCTAAGGATGTGGAAAATTCCGCTATTGGATCCAACGGTGGTGCTATATATGGTGTGCCATGGTTCCCATGAATATACCCCAGTCATGTTAGCATATATACCAGCAGCATGGATCCGTCATGGGATAGCTATTGGAAACTCACCAATGGTCACGTCTGAAGCCGGTAAATCCTCGAACGCTTCGCATGGGCGCTGACAGATAGCTTAGAGGATTCAGAGGGTAAACGTCCTGAAGGATGACGACATTACTGCCCTCTTGTTTACCTTCTGAACGTCGCGTATGTGTGATGTGTGAGAGTGAAAGTAATGCTTCCAATCGCGGCAATCTGAGGCATAGATGTTTGCCAACCATTCAAACTCACAGGCGGACTGGGCCGGGCCCAACACCTTGCTGCACAAAGTTCCCCTAACCATGGGTACTGTATCTGAAGCCGCAGTTTTCAGCTTCAAAAGAAACAACATGAAAAAACTTGCCGTTATTTGATCTAACTCACGAGGTTTCCTAAAATGGGGGTACCCCCAAATCATCCATTTTATAGTAGGATTTTCCATGAAATAAGCCATCCAGCTAGGGGGTACCTCCATTTATGGACCCCCCCACCTGAACATCGTGCTGGAGGCACGGCTGGGATCTACGACGTCTTCGTCTCCGTGCGGGGTGGCGGCTTGAGTGGTCAGGCCGTGATGCGTTGGCATCGATGTTGGTAAGGTAATTGATGTGTCGGCCAGGATCACAAGTAGGTAAATGTTGTTGTTTAATGTTTTTGGATCTTTTCTATTGAACTATCATCCTGAATATGATATACCATGAATTTAGCAGCAATCGGATGATGTTGGTATGACGTTGTATGCATAATGAACAAGCAATAAAACAATGATGTGCAAGTATTCTATCATGTATCAGTTTTAACAAGTATGAACAGCTATGTCAGCTCTAGTGAAACACGGAAAGTGGACAATTGATGATAATTGTAGGTTTGTTGCATATTTCGTGATAGCTTTTGTACCTCCAATGTTTATGGTCTGGGTAACTGGTTGGTGGTTTGGAACATGTTTTTTTTTTTATTTTCCTCAATAGTTGGGATGATGATCCAATCTGACGAAGTCATATTTTTCAAGGGGTTACCCTCTGGTAAACTAACATAACTATGGAAAATCATCATTTTTAGTGGGTAAATACACTATAAATGGCCATTTTCAATAGCTATGTTAGTTTACCAGAGGGTAGGTATACCACCAACCAGGTAAGAATCTCATGGCTTGTTGACATTGGATTCTGTATACTGAACCTTTGACATCGGCGGCTGAGTGCTGTATCGACTCTTTGCCCTCTGGCAAACTGTTAGAGTTTGCGAACTGGCAGATGGCCATAGAAATAGTTGATTTACATATAAAACATTATAAAACCATGGTGATTTTCCATAGTTATGTAAACGTTTAGCAGAGGGTAGCATCTGCAAGCTGATGTTCTGTTGGAAGTGATAGTGGCCACTACATTCATCTGACCTGCGAAGCTGTGGAGCACCTATTTTTTTAAGTGCCAACGTTCCGCGTTCCGCAGGCGGGAGCGACCCGCTTGGCCGTGGCCAGAGCTCTTTTTCAGGCAAGGGCGACGCGTGCCAAGAATTTGTTGATTCGTCATGATTCGTCATATTTTCTTGAACGCTCAAATAACATCCTCCAGCTCTTGAGATCTCACTATATCGGGGTGTCTTGAGACCCCAAGATCATCAAGATCATGCCAGCTCATGTCTTCTACCCACTGATCCCATTGGTTTTGGGGTCACTCATTTTAAGAAACGTACGCCATATCAGTCCTGAACGCACGTTCCGGCAGCTGCAGGCAAATCCCAACTGTCACGACCGGCTTCAGAAGGGTTTCTGCCTCTTAGAGGCCATCGACAGCTGGAGATGATGATCCTAAGTAAGCTCATATTCTTTGGATGGGTTTGGATGGGTTGAACTCACCAATCAGATTGAAATTGGTGGTTCTGTTGGTGGGCTGCATCTGCCCCGGCTTGATTTTCTGATCCTTTCAGGATGTGTTCCTTTCAAACCCTTTAGATTTCAGCCCAGCAGAAGTGGATGGCAGGGCACCCCCCCATCTACTGGTTGAAGCTGAAGCTCTGAGCCCACCTTCCCCCAGCTTCGTGTGGCTCAGACCCTCGAGGGGCAAAGTTGCCCTCTTTCTGGCTTGACCAGCTGGTTTGGGTCAGAAGATGTCAGAATTATGGAACCATCAAGACAACGAGAAACATATATATATATACATATATATATAGAAACAGTAAGACCCGGCCAAATGATTTTTGCAGCTTCAAGTCTTGACACATTTGCGACAGGCTGCCCAGCCACACCATAGGTCCATAGGTAGTGTAGCTTCCCCGGCATCCGTTTTTCATTGCCCGTCCCGTCTTCTTGCCGTCTGGGAAGGCTGGGAATGTGGTGATGGCAACTGTGTTCTTGTGGACTCTAGGAGATATCAATTTGGGTTTGTTCAAAACGGGGGATGCCCGATTCAATGGCTATCTTCAGGCGGAAAATGACGAGCTAGCATGACATTTGAGGTAATGACCCAATTTTCGGACAACACATAATTACACTCATAAACAGGATACGCTTTCATTCCAACAAGTAAACATATGCGAAATTGACTATGATTGTAGGTCTATACTGTAGTTTTTCAGGACAATAGTTTCCACCAAGCCTAGTGCAGCTGGTCCTGGAAGATAGGGTTTACTGATGTTTACTGAATATTTACCAAGTAGGTGCTGTGCTGTGCACCAGGGTTCCCCGGTTGCATTGTGGTCTTTGCCCTTGACAGTGCTTGCGGTACAGTTACACCGCTTGACAAATCCATTGACATTGCAAGTCCACACAAGTCAGTGCACAGAGAATGAAACCTCGCAATGCAGGCTCTGATTGCCAGCTACTATGTCGTGTCCCGCTTGGCCACAGAGTGGGCTTCCTTCAGACTGGCAGGAATACAACGACCCAAGTACAGGCAGGGCTTACTACTACAACAAGCTCACAAAAGAAACTACTTGGGACAAACCAGCACCAGCGGCCCCAAAGGCACCATCAGTGCCAGCAGCACCCGTTGCCCCTGATGCTGACTGGACAGAGCACAAGGATCCAGCCACAGGCAAGGCATACTACTACAACAAACTCACAAAAGAAACCACTTGGGAAAAGCCAGCAACAAGACCAGGATCAAGCATGCCACCAGCACCGGCGGCCCCAAAGGCACCATCGGTCCCAGGAGCACCCGTTGCCCCTGGTGGGCTTCCGCCTGACTGGACAGAGCACAAGGATCCAGCCACAGGCAAGCCATACTACTACAACAAACTCACAAAAGAAACCACATGGGACAAGCCAGCAACGAGACCAGGATCAAGCATGCCATCAGCACCGGCGGCCCCAAACGCACCATCGGTCCCAGGAGCACCAATTGCCCCTGGTGGGCTTCCATCTGACTGGACAGAGCACAAGGATCCAGCCACAGGCAAGGCATACTACTACAACAAACTCACAAAAGAAACCACATGGGACAAACCAGCACCAGCAGCCCCAAAGGCACCATCAGTGCCAGCAGCGCCCGCTGCCCCTGGTGGGCTTCCACTTGACTGGACAGAGCACAAAGATCCAGCCACAGGCAAGGCATACTACTACAACAAACTCACAAAAGAAACCACTTGGGAAAAGCCAGCAACAAGACCAGGACCGAGCATGCCACCAGCACCGGCGGCCCCAAAGGCACCATCGGTCCCAGGAGCACCCGTTGCCCCTGGTGGGCTTCCGCCTGACTGGACAGAGCACAAGGATCCAGCCACCGGCAAGGCTTACTACTACAACAAAATCACAAAAGAAACCACTTGGGACAAGCCAGCAACAAGACCAGGACCGAGCATGCCATCAGCACCGGCGGCCCCAAAGGCACCATCGGTCCCAGGAGCACCAATTGCCCCTGGTGGGCTTCCACCTGACTGGACAGAGCACAAGCATCCAGCGACAGGCAAGGCATACTACTACAACAAACTCACAAAAGAAACCACTTGGGACAAGCCAGCAGCAAGACCAGGACCGAGCATGCCATCAGCACCGGCGGCCCCGAAGGCACCATCGGTCCCACGAGCACCAATTGCCCCTGGTGGGCTTTCACCTGAATGGACAGAGCACAAAGATCCAGCCACCGGCAAGGCATACTACTACAACAAAATCACCAAAGAGACATCATGGCAACGACCCCCTGGCAAGTCAGGACGGGCTGCGGTGGGTGGGGTTTAATATTCATGGGGGCATTGACTGTTCATGAGTATCCTGCAAAGCACCCTTGCCTCGTTGATCCCTGGATGCCCCTCAAAGGTCAGAAAATTAGTTTGCAGTTGGAAACATCTCATTTTCCATAGAAAAGGGTCCAAGAAGTCTCCATACCAAGCCATCTCTTGACAGCGTTCTGAACCTATCAAGTTGATGCTGCATTTGCCTTGTCCGATCTCCATCTATCGTTGTTTGTTTCATTCTGATTAACAAGCGACCCACACCCCAGAAAAAGTGTCCTGCCAGGAGCTTCTCCCATCCTCTTGTTGGCCTTTGATTTCGACTGCACCATCAGTT